CGAAAGATGGTGAAAGGAAAGGAAGATGCCAAAGGATCACACCATCCTGACATTTTCAAAGGATTTTGTGACAAGAAGAACGAGTACATTCATCTCCAGCAGTAGTCTCATACTGTACAAGGTTGTGTCAAGCAAACATGAATTCAGTATTCTTTTTCATGGTTTCAAGTCCACAAGCGACAGGAAGCCAGCCAAGGCGATAGTCGACAATGTCCTGAGAGAGGCCAGGCAAGTGAGTCTTTCTCTGTCTTCGATATACATTATCAATCTAGTAATGTATGGTAGCTCCATATATATATATAGAGAGAGCAGAATAGGCTGAGTCGAGTTCAGTCCGTTTCTCCACCTCGCCAAATCATAGTTGATCCACTAGCAGCACCACTTGGACCAATTGGTCACTGGAGATATGCGCCGCTCGCCATTCAGTAACCAACAATTGATCAAATCGTGCACCCTGTTTGAAACGCCGGTGGCGGCCTGTGAGACATTCGCCGTTCCCGATGTTTGGTTCTGCGTTTGTGCTGATGTTTCATTTGAAACATCATTTGTCTGAGTCTCCGACGAGGGGCCAGCAATGCGAACAGTTTTGTGGTTAGATGCCAATTTCACGTGCACAGAGAAGCACGGAGCTGGACACTAAGTCTTAATGGTCCCATTCTACTAGCCGGACGAACCAACAGATGATGCGGCCTAGTGGAACTAGTGGGTGCGAGCTCATTTGGCGCGAAGACAGGAAACCCGGGAGATCTCGATCTCAGGTCTTGGAACCGTTCCTGAAATGCATGTAATGTCACGGAATGTCATGGAATGCAGAGCCTCAGTGAGTGAGATCCACATACTAACAGTACTAGTACCGGTATCATCACTCATTTAATTGCAATGGACGCACCTCCCGTTCCATTTCGGAGTCGTCCCTGACCTTCCATTCAAAGCCTATGGAATCGAGTCGCCGGATCTTGTCTTGGGACAAAGGCGCAGAAAGACCATCCAATTTTCTCTTGTGGACTCGTTGCGTTGTGACTATGTATACCGGTACCGGTGCAGTACACGCAGACACGAGATTAACCCAGATGAACAGCAGTCAAGACAAGAGTTCAGAAACCCATGGCATGCTTCAGATCCAATAACACAAATTTAATAAGATTCAGGGATACGCACCCCAACTTCCCAGACCAGCGACTTGTCTTGCCGATACCTGTTTGGAACTCTTTCCATCGCAACAGACAAACATATTGAACTCAGATATGCTGTATAAGCCCTTCAAACATCCGTATGCCGAACAGTATTACTGGTGACTTACCTGCAATTCCCTGCTCATACGGCATGAGCAAGAATGTTTCAGTAAGACTGATACAAGAGTGTAATGTTGCCAACTACATGTAATAAGCCAAGCACTTACCATGCCTTCTTTGGTGCTCTTGCAGTATCCTGAAACAGCAGTCCCATGTTTGTCTAGCTAGAGCCGGTGGCAGTATCGGTACACGTACCACCCGGCAAATCTTCATTTTGCCCCTTAGGGCGGCCGTTGTCACAATGCGTGCTTCGCAGGTCGTCTTGCCCGTTTTCATTCTAAAAATATATGTGAACAGTACTGGTAGCATAACATGCGGCATGTAGGAGCTCATGCAGGTCGGTATCTCGGGAAAGATCTATGGTACTGAGTGCGAACGAGCCACAGCAGCTTTCTTTGCTCAAAATACATTGTGATCCCTATATCCCTATTCCTACCGGTGCTCTAGCTAGCTAGTTTACAGTTTTCAGAAGGCGGCAGCTGCTTTCCGAAATTACGAAAGTTCAAGTTCAAGGTTTCGTCTTCGAAGAAGCCCGTGGATTGCCGGAGATCACAGGTAAAGAAGGAAAAGTAAAGAAAAGCTTTAAGTCATGTAATCCCGTCAAACATTTGCAAACTCTTTGCGATTTTTTTCAAGGATCCTCTATCCAGCTCCCTATTCTCTCCGCGGGATCTCATCTCCGTGCCATCATGACAGCATGACAGCAGCACAGCAGCACAGCCACCGTGCACGCAGTCATGCAGCAGACCGGAAGAGTGCATTATCTCAATGATTGAATGGCAATGACCATGTCAACATCAATTTCAGACTCAGGGAGTGACAGTCTTCTTGTGATGCTGGTGGCAGCATTATCGGCCTGGATATCTTTAAGCAGGGGTGTCATGGGGGTATCTTCAGGGGTATCCAAAGGATCCACGGGTAGCATCCCAACCACACGTAGTATACAGATACCTCTCCATCTGCTGATCTTTCTGTGGTTATCTATTTTGGTTGGAGTGAGTGAAGGGCAACGGTTAAAGCAAGGGTGTGTGGAATCTGGAGGTCCCATCCGTTGCGATTACGAGAACTTTCAAGTGTCCAGCATTGCCAACTTGGCAGACATGCAAGCGGCCGAGCAAGTGTGTAGCTTTCTAGTACAAGAGGTGTTTCCTCGGGAAGATGAAAAAGTCATTTGGGATGTCTCCTTGCATTCTCCCTATCTGGACAGCATCAAGCAAGATGATCCCTGGTGTCCCAAGATCCGACAATACTACCAGCATTGCCTCTTTTGTGTCCCGGATTGGACTCAAAGATGGCAATGCCAAGATCAAGCCAAAGTACACATTTGTGGAGGAAAACCAAACAAGTTGCAAATTCTCAATCTATCTACAGCAGAAGCAGAAATAGACCCGAACCTTGAAATGTACCTGCAGTACCAGACACCACAAGATATAGATATGGCATGTACGGCATTGGACCAAGCTTCACAACTTCAATGGGTCAAAGATGTACCCAATCCAGTACCCACCACACAAGACTTTTGTCAGCAACAAACACTCATCAAACATTTGTGTCCAGGCTACTGTGAAGGAACTTGTTTTGATCCTATACTCCATCCACCCACATGCAACGGCAACAGCAGCCACTTTAATGCCACCACCACCAGCAACCACAGTTCAGCAAGCAACATCATTGCGACAACAACAAACTCTATTGAAATCTGCAAACAACTCAGCTACCAAGCCTTTTACACGGTCGATATTGGAATGGTACTGGATGTAGACAGTCATGCAGACTTTTTGCGGTCCATACCCGATGACACGGACCAACCCGATAGCTTTTGTCGGCAAGCACGAGACGCCTATGCCGATTGCTTTTGGTGTGCCGAACATCGCTGTTTTGGGGATCATTGGCCCACTTCTTGCGACGACAATTATCATCATCATGACGACGACACTGTTGTGAATGACGACGAAGCACAAGAGCAATACGTCTGCAAACAACTCTTGTACGCATTCGACAATGTCTCCTTTGCCGATGAAATGAATATCGACGCACACAAATTCCTCATTCCCGATCACAACCAATTCTGTGATCAAGCACGACAATACTACAATAAATGCTTTTGGTGTGCACCCCATCTCAATGACGAATGGGAAACCTACAATGAAACCATTCAGTTTGAATTCTGTTTGCCCAACACGGCATGTGGAAGTCCCGTCGTGCTGCCCCGTGACTTTGAATCCATTACACTCGCACGCATGGGCATGCGGTTGATCGATCCGTACTTGAGATTGCCATCGGAACAAGACGGCGACAGCGACAGCTACAACGAAATCCCCTGTGACGAGATCTATCAACACCACTTGGAAAATTGGGACGATCCATTCTCGCTCAATCGATGCTACGATGAAATTTTCTTGGGACGACTCTGTCCAGAGCAATTCTGTGAATCCCAAGAGGCGGAAGTAATTGACAAGAACTATTTAGGGGCGACAACCACCATTCAAAAACGGGCCATCATTTGGCTCAGTCGAGTGTCGGCCATGCTGTCCTTTGGGGGAGCGACCTACATCATCGTGGATGTACTCAAAGATCCAGCCAAACGGGGATTAGTATATCATCAGCTCTTGGTCAGCATGGCCCTCTTTGATATTGTCACTGCCTTTGCATGGGTCTTTGCCACTCTACCCATTGACGAAGAAGAGGCGGGGCATGTAGAAGGAGCGAGTGGAAATCCAGCAACTTGCAAAGCCCAAGCGTGTGAGTGAAATCGTCTTATTATATTGCTTGACTGAACCTATTTCCTCGCACGCTCACAATATATGCATCCTCAATCACACTGCTACAAGTCTTTGTACAGCTGGGTTTTACCAGTGTATTCATGAACGTCTCGTTGTCCATATACTACCTATTGGTGATTGTTTTTGATTGGAGAGAATTTCAACTGCAAAAAGTCCGAATCTACATGCATGCCATACCCATATTGGTTGGACTCGGATTGGCCCTCGGAGGGATTCCCATCTATTCCTGGTTCGAGTACGCGTGTCATTTGCTTCCGCCACCCGACGGAGAGCTATGGGTCTCCTTGGTCTTTGTGGTTCTGCCTCTAGGGATTTCCATCATTGCCATTACCCTCAACATGCTGTTCGTGTACGTGAAGGTTCGCCAACAATCTGCCTCGTCCAGGAAGTGGAGTCTTGGCATTGGTCAGGCAGGACGAATTGAAAGGGCAGTGTTCTGGCAGTGTCTCTTCTACATGCTTGCATTCTATGTCACGTGGCCGATTCTGTTTTCGGTGTACTTGGCATCCGTCGACGTGCATGGTCCGTTGCGACTGACACTTACGGTGGCGTTTGTGGCACCCCTCCAAGGATTCAACAACTGGTTGGTGAGTAGTTTGAAAGGACGCCTAGACGATGCCTGGTCTCTCGAATCGAATGCATATGCTCTTACATGTATGACCTCGGTCATGTCGTGCATCTCCCCAGGTTTACATCAGGCCCAAGTTACTGAAAGACAGGCACAAGAAACGCAAATCCCAATCATCCCCTCATGGGAGCGCAAGCATGCGGCCGTCAATCGAGCCAAGTGGCCGAACATACTCCTCGCTCCGCAACATGCTGAAGTTTTTGCCTCAAAGTGTTAGCACAAGGTTTACGACGACATCATCGACACAGTTTTCAACTCCGCCGCCAGCAACTGCCCCGGTTGACGATCTCAGTGACCTGAATCCTTCGTTAGCCTTGGCAAAGTGCGGTGGAGATAGGCTCGAACCTTCGGTGGAACAGCAGCCTGTACCACCCTCACATCATCATCGAAGATCGATGACGACAGCTGCAGCCCCATTGACCTGCGAGTTGGAAACACTTCCTGAAACCAAGAGAGTCTCAGTGTTCAAGAGTTCGAATACCAGTAGCAATGATGCAAGAAGCTCGTTACGGGCAAGTATCTTAAACTTTACCGGACTTGATGCTGAAATGTTGGATATGAGCAGCAGTTCAGAGGAGGCGGACGATGAAGAGGAGGAGAAGGACGGTGCATTGGGCACGAGGACGGAAATGAATGGCGGGAGTGGCTCGCTGCGGGACAGTATCCTGAACCTGACTAGACTCGATGCCGAAATGCTGGACATGAGCAGTAGCAGTTCTGAGGTCAATGATGTCAACCAAGAAGAAGAAAAGAAAATGGATCTCGATTCGATCTGCAGCTCCGACTTGGAGTCGAACAGCGGGGGCAACGAACTTTGTGACAAAGGCTCTGGGGAACAGGCAAACAACTCCATTGCGGAGGGTTCTGCGGAGGGAGAACCGTATACTGTACCGACAGGACAAGACAGGCCGAAGCCAGAACTGTTAGCACATGAACACCGCTGTACCTACTAGCTAGCTACCAAATCAAGTCTGCTTGCTAGTCAGCTCCAGAGAACGACCTTCACGATGTCATAAATAAGCTTTATAGCTGGCTAGTCTCTGTTCACTGATCCATCCTCCTCCCTTGTGCTCCTTCCCTCCTATTCAGTTGGTCTGCTCGATCTTGGCTGTCTGGCTCCTGCCCCCGAATCGAAGATTCCCTGCCACCGCCTCAGCTGGGGCTGGGGGCAACAGTAACTATGCAGCTAGTAAAACACCTGCACAAGTATTTGCCTTGGTAGGTGAATGCTAAGGAGATAGTCCCCCAATCCCCTCAGGGAATTGGGGTAACCAAATTAGTGCTACTAGCTTTTAGAAGGGAGGTGAGGGTGGGCAAAAGCAAAATTCCATGGTCCAAAAGCATGTTGGTGGCATCCAGCAATCAGGAAACCAAAACAGTGGGCTGCTTTGGGTTGATTGCTGGCTCCTTCAGCCACATACAGGGTGGCGGGCCAGACTGGTCACTCCAGCAGACATTATGCCCTGCTGGCTTGGAGTCTTGGCTTCAAGAATCGAAGATTCCCTGCCACCGCCTCAGCTGGGGCTCGGGGCAACAGTAACTATGCAGCTAGTAAAACACCTGCACAAGTATTTGCCTTGGTAGGTGAATGCTAAGGAGATAGCCCCCCCAATCCCCTTAGGGAATTGGGGTAACCAAATTAGTGCTACTAGCTTTTAGAGCCAATAGCAGCCGACGCTGCTCAAAGAGCAAGAATCGAGCCATAGTTACTGGAGGCGGCCAGCCAGCACAGCTGGAAAAAAAGGAGGTGGGGCGGGAATGCCATGGGAAATTGCACGCGGGCATCCCCAGTCAAGGAATACAAACCGACAGGTCGTGAAGCGACCAACCGTTTGCACAGCGAAAGAAACGATGCATCATGTAAATCACAGTTTGCATTGTGTAAACCACAGAACGGAAAGTTTACAAGCGCATAACTCGATAACAAATAGAATCTGTACGCAATAGGTAAGTAGTAACGCAATAGCGCTGCTCAATGGTGGAAAGTGACTGCAAGAGCGGAAAGCGTCTCACACAAACTGTCCTAGCTGTTTCACAGGTGATCCAGGAAGGAAAGAGTAACCGTAGCTAGCAAGATGAATCAAGCCCAGTTGGAAGCCCAGATAGTGGACTTGGAGTACGGTATGGAGGCGACACTTGGTCTGCTGGCAGCGGCGTTGGGGAGCAAGTTCGCAGAGGTGGAGAGTACCTACTCCCAGTGGCGCAAACGGTTGCCGCTCGGCAACCTCAGCGATGAGCATCGAACCATGTTCATGGAGAAGCTCGACTTGACTGAGATGCAGTTGGCAGAACTGGAGGGCAAGTTCAAGCTTGCCAATCCCAAGTACAACGAGACGGCACCCGGGTACAACGCGGGAGCTCGTCGTGCACGGATGGCGACTCCAAGGAAGGCAGCCAAAGAGGCATTGGCCAACAACACGCTTCGGTGCAAAAAGGGGACAGCTCGGGCAACTCAGAATGTGATGAATGCCACGGTCGAACTTGTCCAATCCACCCTGCATGACGCAGACCCGCGGTACAACCATACGGAGGCCGCGAAGGTGGTCACGGGCTGCATGTTGCAGGCGACGAGCGGCAGCAAATGTGAGGCGAAAGCGGCCTTCCAGCCCAAACGCGCTACGCGTCGTCGCAACGACAAACCGTAAGCATGGTAGGGCGAGCGGCAAGAAACCGGGCAAGTCCCAAACATAAACAAACGAAAAAACTCGTTGCCTACGAAGATATAGTCCGTGGGAGATCAGGAATAAACTTATAGACCCAGTTTTAAATTATAGCCGAGGCAAAGCCTGGAGTCGGTCAAAGGCCGCGTTTTGCCGTCTAGATAGAATGGCCACATTGCGGAAATACATGACAAATGACATGGATTTCCAACGGAGGATCCATTGGATGTCACGGTCAGAAAATCCCATGATGTGCAGAATGACGCGGGCACCAACACGAAGGGAGTGCGAGCTCCACTTGCTGAGGTCAGCTTTATCATGGAGTGGGTGCAAATTGTACACCGCTGCAGCCAGACGACGCATAAACTTCTCAATGGCAGAGCCATCAACAAGCTTAGCGTGTCGGCTTTTGGGGTTCCAGTAGACGGAGAGTGGAGTGGAGGCAGGCGACAAACCCGGGTGCATCACCTGGACTTGGGCAAACCGTACCAGGGATCGATAGGTGGAAGAAACAAAACAGAGGCCCAAAGGATTGGGGTTTCATTCATATAGTTTCTCCTCCCCATTTTCACCATTTTTCTGGGTGCGGAATTTCACATACATCTGTGACAGCCGCAGAAGGGGCAAAGTAATAATAGCCAGCCCAATAAGACGCACACCACATAGGCCAACAGCCCGAATGTCGTTGGGAATTACAGCCCGAGTTTTGCACTCGGGTCCAGTCCGCCCATTGCCATGTGGAGATAGAACATTGGTTTTGCCGGCAGGCTGAGCCCATTCAGTAAGTCGATACCCAGTACACAATCCCTGCTCAAAGCCATCAGTGAGACAGCATACCAAGCTGATAATAGGAAACTTGGCGGCCACCTTGCAGGCAAGGGCATGCATGCGGTGGTCATAGGGCTCTCTGCGATCAGCCATAGTCTCATACCTCCTGATATCACGCATGACACCAGACAGATATGCACCCATGGTTCGGTCTCCCAATTTGTCCTTCCTGTAGTCCTGTTGCGTGAAGCAGCGGATCAGAGAGGAGGCAGCCAAAAGGTACTGGTCAATGGTCGATGCCTTGATGGACTTGCATTGGATGGAGTGGCCACTGCTGAGGTGGACAGCATACATGGCAAACTGGTACTGGCCACGCACAGCCCAATTTGGATCCTCCCCAGTAAGAGTGAGGTTGTCGTCCCAGTTCATAGCACAGCAGAACCAGAGATAGTGGAGTCTACGGGCAGAAACTGTCCCAGGACTTGCGGAAGGACGCAAGGAACCGGGATGTGCCTGGAGTACAGCCTCAAGGTAAGGAGCTGTACGAGCTCGGGCGACGGCAGGAAATAGTCCAAGGGCCTCAAGCAAGGATGCTTGAGAAACAGCTGTTGGGCACGGTCAAAGAGTGGGACAGAAAAATCATTCCGTGAGATGTCATCAGCAATGATGTTCTGTACCCCTGCCAGGTGCTCGCACTGCGTGTGGACAACGGCCACTCGCAGTAGTTCTGCATACACAGACACCAATCCCTGCCCTTGCGAAGTGCGAGCAGTAGCTCGGTTTTCCCAGGACTTAGAGACAGTATTGTCTGTCTCTCCAAACCACACGGGAATTGCTGGTACCCCTTTTGGAAAGTAGGGACACGAGGAGTTCCGTGGGAGTGTCCGAAGGCGTGTCACAATAGCAGCAAGCTGGAGGACGACCACAATAAACTCAAGGGAGTTGATGTGGACGAAGTCATCGGCATTGGAAGGAAGGTCCCTGGCTCCTCGGACGGTTCGAGGAGACCAGATTACGTCAAACCAGAAACCAAGCTTCAAGCAGTAGGCACCACCACCAGCAGTACTGGCATCCCCCCGAGAGGAAAAGTGGGGTTCCCGTGGAACAATAAGTCCCAGTGGGACCTCCCATGGTGATTCCGCAGAACTCACATAGGCCTGCAGGTGCTGTAAGGACGTTCGCATGTCGGCGTCAACAGCAAACCGCTGTCGGGTTGTCCACAGAAGTTTTGCCCTTTCACGCAGGACAAGGGACTCGATGCGTCCCAGTAGGGAAGCAGGCAGCTCTCGACGGAGATGCACTTCACGGCCAGCACGGTTGAATCGACGGCTGACAATGTGGAACCGTGCAGTGAGGGCACGGCGGACAGCGTTCTGGAGGGCACAGCACCAACAGCGGGCCCAACGAGCGTACTTGGTGTGGTTCTCCAGTGTCCCTAGCAAGTGGGCAATCTCTAGCAGATCGAAGGAGCTCCGGGAGACCCATACTTGCAGGAGTTCCAGCAGTTGGTCCTTCTTATGTGGGAGCATCCCGACCGTGAGAGTGCGGGAGTTGAATCTCCTGCCAACCAACTTTCTCAAGTGGTTGTACCAGGACTCGAACTTGTCCATGCTCAATGGGGAAGGGACAAGGGGGTCCGTGGGAACTCCCAAAACATCAAACAGTGATGCAACACTGGCACAAATGGTCCGCGGCAGATGCTCACGGACATCGGCATACAGGTTGTCATCAACATGCATGTGGTAAGGGGGTGGGAGCCGACTTCCGTCTGCACCCAGAACCCCTCAGTTGATGCCATCGGCATCAGCTGGTTCAAAGGCCTCCAATTCCACATCTGTAGGCATTTCAGCCATTTGAATTGCCGGGAGATGGGGGAGGACTCTGGCTTCAACAGTAGGATCGTTCAGCCAAAGATGCCTGCCAAGTTGACGGCGGGCCTGCCCAATGGTATCCCAGTTGGAAGGGGAAGTGTTATCACCAAAGGTGCCACCGGTGTTGATCACGCCGTACCCAGCTTGGATGCTAGTGTGCATTGCCATACAGTTTGGATGGTACTTCATGAGCCGAAAAGCTCCACTGACATCATCGTCAGCAATGTAGATCTCTTCTAGGGGGTAGGTGATACGAAGGTTGTAAACCCAGATCATGAATCCCATTTCAGCCCCAGCAAAGGTAAGAGGGGGTTCATAGTCCTTGGAAGTCCAATCATTGATAGCATAGCTCGACGGTAGAGGTCTGAAACTGCTGTCAAAGATAGGTCTGGGATTCTTGAACATCGTGTTCAAGTCAACGACCCCTTGGGGAGTGAGGTGGCAGTGAAGCATGAACAGGACAGCTCGTCTGTCTACCACCAGGGTGTACCCCTTGCGGTTGTCCTTGACCATAGCGTTATAGGTTTTCTCTGGCTCGTCCTCCACAGTAGTGTGGTTCCCATACTTGTAGTAGGCCAGGAAATTGTCCTCACCAGTGAAAGCCCGGCAGTGGGCAGGTATCCCAGAGTGGAAAATCCGTTTCAGACTACTGACAACGTGGGAGTCAGCTCCAGCATTGGTCAGAGCTTCAAGGGTCGCAGTATGATTCCTGTGGGCAGCAACATGCGGCCCACCAATCCACCGGACCAGATCAGCCACACTTCCATCGAAGTACAACAGGGCGGCAGTGGCCATCTTGACACGGTTGAGGTTCAACTCGGTCTCCGTTTCCCAGCCAGCTGGGTATCCACGGATTCCACAGAAACCGGTAGTCCAAAGCTCAGACAGGAGCTCTTTGAGAACAAGGGCAGGGTAGTAGGCGGTGCAAAATGCTAGCCAGTCATTGGATCCAATCGGGAGGAATCCAGTCTTCACCAGTGGGAGCAGAACATGTCGCAGGGCAGGAGTAGAATACAGAAACTGGGACAGATTATCCTTACCGAATGGTTGGTCAACTTTGGCCAGCACCGCAGGGTGTCGTTCGGCCAGTTGACCACGGAAGCGTCGCTGGACGGACTGCGTGAAGACTTCCTTCAGCGTAATGTCCTCAGGATCAATCACTTTGGATTGAGTCGGGTACCATTCTTGGGCGCGTCGAATGGCCAAGCCATTTCCAATATCAGCGCCTGGTACATCGTCAGCGGGCACAGATCTGGGACCAGGCTTGGGCAAGTACCGCGAGAGCGCATCGACAGCGTCATTAGAGGAACCTGTAGAGTCTGACAAAGTAGTCCGTGGCCCCAGGCCAGGTCCACTCATAGTCAACTTAGAGCTACGAAGTGTCCGGTCTGGGACGCACAAGGAAGAAGAGGTGACTGAAAGCCAAGGTGGTTTCGAAATGTGAAGCTAGGCTTTTACCGGTGCTGTCATGCGGGTTCAGTGGAAAATATTTGTCCTGTTTCCACGGTCGGTAGTGCCAGCTTTGGCGTAGAAAAAGTTGTTGCTGGCTCCTGCAATATCAAAGGCGAGGTAGTAATTGTTGGCAACAAGGTCAAACATGGGCTTCAACAGTTAAAAGTGGGTTGTAGTAAGTGACAGCAGCAAGCACAAGTGTCAGCTGTCCTGCATAGGCATCTAAAGATGGCTCGTAGTTGTTGGCTATAGCGACGATGGTTTGCCATTGTTCTGGGCGGAATTCGCTTCAGCCACTGTAGCAAACACCGGTGGACTATGGACTCTCCGGAGAAGCTAGTGGCATTGACAGTGCAAGTTGTTGTGACAGGCATGAGATTACCAGGATCTCCCCTTGTTCTTATGGCATCTTCAAAGGGGTGGACAAACTCTGCAAATGGCATACCGGACATACAGATGGTAAGTGAGGGCAGCTGAAGGTACTGCTGGTGGTAGTAGGCAACCTTATTTGGCTAGTGGTGGTGGTGCTATTGTCGTCCAATTTTAAGTGTTTCGCCATAAGTATCATTGGGAACCAAAATGGGCTCCGTAGAGGCGTCGGCAAAGGCCAAACTGCGCTTTGGAGGGCGAGCAGTAGCGTGGACGGAATAAAAATAGCTGATGTTGCGTGCCACAGAGTCGTTGCTGAAGCTGTTGGACGTGAGCTGCGGAGGAAATGGTTCTGTTGGGCTTGAGCTTGTCAGGATCTACCTTGTCCGTAAGACATCTTCTGCAGTAGAAAGCATATGAGACGCATATATGCAAGTGTGGAGAGCTGAGGATAGTGCTGGTTATTGTCGGTAGCAGTAAGAATGAATGAGGAGGTGGAATTGTTGGCTGTCCATGCTCATTGGCCAGTGAAGTGGCGTTGTTGTGTCCAATGCTGTTGCCATTGCAGCAGTTTTTGGCATTGGCGACAATCTAAGGTATTATTTTATTGAGGAAGATTGTCGACTTTCCACGAAAGTGAACTGGCTCGTTGATGCAGTCGGCAATCAAATGGTTGTCGACATAGGCGGTGGAAAGCAGCAATTTTGGTCTTGCTGTTCGCTGTGGTCGATCGATGGTGAGTCGGCGCTGGAAGGCAATTGATTGGGGGAAGGTTGTCGGGTTTTCCCTGTTGTCTTCGGTTGCGACATGGCTGACCATCATTGGAGGGTCATCATTGTTGTGAACAAGAAGTTGTCGGGTTTTTCGCATCCATTGTAGTTGCTTGCTGACTCGAAGCATGATTTTGTAATATTAGTAGGAATCACAACCAAAGCACAACCCGATAGGAGGATCCACTCTCTTGCGTGTTGTCGCCGGTTGACAACTGTTGCTATGGATGCCATACCTGGTACGCTGTACTAGCATTTGTTGCATCTGCAAGAAGCGTCAATTTGCTGGCTAACGACTGTGTCAGTAGAATTAGACAGTTGTCAACTTTTCCTCGTCGTCGTTGTTAGCCAAAGGTGGCTCTGTGGCGATGGTTCTTGGTTTTCCACGGTCATCGTCTGCAACCAAAAGTGGTGGTTTGTAGACTGTCTTCTTGCCCTTGTTGAAGGGCAAGGGCGTCGCAACAATCCAAAGTGGCTCTAGCATGGTGGGGTTCACAGCACCGTAACGAGAACTGGGTTTGGACTCCTCGTCGACAGTGAGACCAAAAGAATTGTTGCTGCGATTGTCGGCTGCTAGCTAAGGCTGGCGTCAGCAAGCGGAAATCTATTGTTGATTCCGTTGGCTCCTTGCTTCATGTTGGTGGTAGGCTCTTCGGAACCAGTCTTGTTGTTGTGTTTGCAGCCTCGGCGGAAAACTTTGGCTTTATTCAAGTGGATTTCACATCACCGTATCTGCCGTGGAGCAATTTGTTGCCCTTGCCGTTGCTACCAAAATGGGCTGGTCGGAACCTTTCTTGTTGTTGGCAGTCAAAGGGTGTCGTTGTACATTGCTGAGCAAACTCACATTGTTGCCGTAGCCGTTGTAGGATAATTTGTCGGGGTTTCCAGTAGATGGCCGGTTCCGGCACCGGGGGAATGATTGTTGGCTGTTGCGCGTGGAATTCAAATGCTTGCTGTTATTGTCGCTCGTATAGTCCAGGACCAGAGATGGCTCCTCATATGTGTCGGCCGCGACGCGGTTGATTGTGATTTTCACTGATATGAGCACGCCATCAGCAACCAAATATTGTAGTGTAGGTACCGGTATCAGACTTGGTCAGATGTGTAGCTTTGAGGGAGGAAGTGCTGTTGCTGGCACAAACTATAGTAGTGATACCGGTACCTAGAAACCAATTAAACGCATCTACTCAACAAGAAATGCCGCGACGGCAGCGAGGCTTCTCCTTCTGATCAGAGATTGACCACTGCAAGACCAACTTCCCTAGGTGCGGATGAAACCTGCACCCAGTGGGAAATTTCGTACAACACTTCGGTCGCGCTCCTCTCAGAAGAAATGGTATGATGTGAGCCTCTTGTTCCTGATGTTGCCACTTGCTTGCCGGTGAGATGGTCGATGCCGCTTGCTCTTGTCACTTCCTTGCCTCTTGATCTTGCTATTAAGAACTCGGTCCGGCTTGAATTGAATTCAATGAGGCAGAGAAATCAGTGCTTGTAATAGTAGTAGCAGTACATGTAGTAGCAGTAGTAGCGATCTGTTCGATCGACAGAGGGTGCCGACCATTGTGTTGGTGTTTGTTGCAGTACTGTACCAGCACGTAGATGCATGCATGGGGAGGCAGATCTTGGAGGAGCTTCTCTCCTCAGCTTGACACCCATTTTACAATTATGTGTAGAACCTGGTAGAAATGCTACCTGGAAAAATGTTCAACCACTGGCCGCCGTGTTGGACCAAAATTCTGACAGACCAACCCCAGAGTAAAAGATGGGTTGGCGATTGCGGGGTAATTGCCATCTCAGCTCTTATGCTCCACAAACAAGTTCTCTTCCATACGGTAGCAACCAAGGCATGGCTCTCTTCTAAACTACCATGGAAGACTTCTGCAGCTGAAGGTTGGAGCAGCAGGAGATGATTACAGCCAGAGAGAGCCAATCGCTGAATTAACTCCACTTGATTTGCCTCTTCTTTCTGCCATTTCGAACCATGAGTGTCTGTGCCACAAACAAGGTCTCTTCCATAGTAACCAAGCCAGGGATCTCTTCTCTACTACCATAGAAGACATCTGCAGCTGAAGGTTGGAGCAGCAGGGGCGGATTACAGCCAGAGAAACCCCATGGCTGAAGTAGTGTTTTCTGGTACTGCAACCATGCCACCCCAATCATCGTTCGACGGTCTGTGCTGGCCAAGGAAGTACTAGCGACAAGTTGACGGAAGCAGCGATTGACAGTCGACGGAAGGAGTTGCCAGTGTACAGGAACAAGATTATCAAGCCCCAATAGGAAAGTGAAAATTGAAGGTTTGACAAACACAGAAAAGCAGCTCCACACTGGCACCTCTACCTGTACGGCTATAATCGATCGACCAGGCCGACACTATGTATGAGCGGTAGGTTCAAAGCCGCTAGCAGGAATGTTTATAGCTGTGTCTACGCTCTCTTTTCCAGCAAGAACAAGCCGCATCAGTCTGTTATTCATGGAGATTCATCCATCAGCAGTTAGGAGTGAATTTTGAGGAATATTCCGTACTGAGTGTGGGTCATGGGAACAGGTGCTCTGTGAGAGTTCTTACCGGTAGCCTCACTTGAATTGATGTTCTCTACGGAAGCCAGCGAGGGCTAGCTAGGCTTAAGCAATAGAATGATTGAATTGGTTTCCTCTTTATCAGAAGAACAAAAGTGGATTGGAACCAACCAGCATGATTCTCCCTCGGGAGTACTTCTGCAAAGGCTCCCACCACTGAAGAAGCCATTTACAAGGCAGGAGATAGGAAGAATTGAAGTTCACGTGTGCAAGCTGTGCTACTTGCATAGATCTCTCCTCTACCAGCTTCTTTTGATAGCTCTGAAGTGAGGCTCCCGCAGAAGCACCTCTCCCATGAGAATGCTGCATAAAATTAGGGGAAACTAATGGTTGCCGCACTGGAAATAGTATTGTTGCTGAAGTAGTGTCGATTCAATCAAGCTATCTTTTCCCTTTTCTGTTGGCAACTTGTTGTTGAAAGATCCCAATGGTTTGTGCATGTCCCCTCTTGATTGTACTATGTACTATTGTAGCGGTTTAGAAGCATTTGTGGAGGAGAAATAGAAATAAGGAGCAAACGTCCATCGTTTCGATCGCAATCAAACCAAATTTTAGACGGAATTCATGCTGTTGAATCCACACCTTGTAGCAGCAATGGCCGTAGCATGCTGGAGTTCAAAAACTTCCACAAGATCCTGCCCATACCCATGCTTCCGTCATCTCCTCTTGTTTTGGTCTCCTCGTCTCTCGACCATGCTTCGGTCGACTTGTCGCTCAATGCTTCGGTTGAATGTCATCCGTTGCTTCATGCTTCTGTTGACTCGTCGCTGGAAATAATTCCCAGTGCTTCCCCTTGGAACAACGATTGGGGTGGCATGGTTGCAGTACCAGAAAATACTGTTTCAGCTTTTGACTCTCTCTGGTTGTAATTGGCCCCCAATGCTTCATTCTTCAGTGCCATCTGTTCCTAGTAGTAGTAGAGAAGAGATCCTTGGCAGAGACCTTGTCTGTGGCACAAACCAGCCCCAGCTGAAATGGCAAAGAAGAAGAGGTGAATCAAATGTAGTCTATTTCAGCTTTTGACTCTCTCTAGCTGTAATCGATCCCTGCTGCTCCAGTCTTCAGTGCCAACTGTTGCTAGTAGTAGTAGTGAAGAGATCTCTGGCTTGGTAGCCTTGGCAGAAGGAGTGTATGTATCGAACAAGCCAAGTCAATGAAACATATGGTGGTATGGAGCGATTTTTGACTTGC